TATTATATTTAATTACTTATATTTAAATATATATTTATATTTTATTTAACTGCTAATATTTAAATATGATGTTGTGCTGTGGGATAGGCACTGGACTTCAAACCAGAAGGTAGGTGGTTCAAATCCACCAGGCACTTTTCAGAAATCCTATACAGGGTCACTTTGAGTTGGAACTGACTCCACAACACTTGATAAAAAGAACAAAATCTTATTAAAGAATTTTGACTATATTCATTAGGGATATTAATTTGTAATTTTTTAATGATTTCTTTGATGTGTTGTAGTATCATAGTTACACTGGCATCCAGTAAAAAAAGAAATCCTTGCTTATTTTTATAAAGTGTTTGTAGGATTGGAATTATTTTCTTTACAGTAGATTGCATTAGTATAATCAGCCAACCTAATATTTCATTTGTCTGGGAAATGTTTATTATTATTATTTTTATTATTACAAATTAACTCCTTGAAAAGATATGTTGTTATTGTTGTTAAGTGCCATTGAGTCGGTTCTGACCCATAGCGACCCTGTATAGGGTTTCCAAGGAGCGACTGCTTAGCTTGAACCACCGACCTTGCAGTTCAAATGGCTTTGCAGTCTGGCGCATTAACCCACAGCATCACACCAGGACTCCTGAATAGATATAGGTAGGGCTATTTGAATTTAAAACTGTTTCCTTATGTCAGCTTTGGAATTTATGATGCATACATATTGCCTAATTTATTGACATCAAATTGATCATAACATTCTCTGAATATCTTCTTTACTATGCATAGGATCTATAGTGATGCATACTCTTTCATTTCTGATAATTTGTGTTCTTTTGTTTTTCCTTGATCTGTTCCTACCCACTTTTTATTGTGAATTGAATCAAGGTTTACAAACAAAATAATCAGTTTTACATTCAACAGTTCATACACTTTCTTTCACCCCCTTGATGCAACAACAGTTGTCCTACTTCCTCCATGTGGTTGTTGTAGTTAGGTGCCATCAAGTCAGTACCTACTCATAGTGACTTTATGCACAGCAGAACAAAATGCTGCCTGATCCTGGGCCTACCTCACTAAGGTTGCCATGCTTGAGTATATCAATGCTGCCACTTGGCCAATCCATCTGGTTGGTGGTCTTCCTCTTTTTCTCTGACCCTCCACCTTACCAAATATGATATCCTTCTCTAGCAACTGGTCCCTCCTGAAAATATGTCTGAAGTATGAGAGATGAAGCTTGGCCATCTTGGCCTCCAATGAGCACTCTGGCTGCACTTTTTCCAGAATGGATCTATTGACTCTTTTGGCAGCCCATGGCACTTTCAATATTCTCCTACAACACCATAACTCAAAAGCATCAATTCTTCTACCATCTTCTTTATTCACTGTCCAGCTTTTGCATGCATATGAGGTTATTCAAAATACCATGGCTTGGGTCAGGGGCACCTTAGTCCTCAAGCTGACATCTTTGCTCTTCAACACTTTGTAAAAAGGTCTCATGCAGCAGATTTGCCTAATGCAATACATCGTTTGATTTCTTGACGGCTGCTTCTGAGAGTGTTGATAGTTGTTCCAAGAAGAATGAAGTCCTTGACAACTTCAGTCTTTTCTCCTTTGATAAGAATGTTGTTTATTGGTCCAGTGGTGAGGATTCTGGTTTTCTTTACATTAAGATGCAATCCATACCAAAGGCTTTGATCTTCATCAGTAAATGTTTTAAGTCCTCTTCATTTTCAGCAAGCAAAGTTGTATCATCTGCATATCGCAGTTTGTTAATAAGTCTTCCTCCAATACTGATGCCACATTTTTCTTCATATAACACAGTTTCTCAGATTATTTGCTCAGTATACAGGTTGAATAAGTATGGTGAAAGAACACAACCCTGTCGCACACCTTTCTTAATTTTAAAACAGTCAGTGTTCCCATGTTCTGTTCAAACAACTGCCTCTTGGTCTAGGTACAGATTCCTCATGAGC